AATTAAATTTTCCAATTGGTTGCATTTTCTGTCCATTTTATCCACTTTCTTAATCACTGGAGGCCTGAATTAGGAAATACAGCAAATTAGCAAATACACACCACTTTTCTATAGGTCATCCAATTTATTTAGGGGTGGTCATCATCAAAAGGAAAATACCATGTTTTCTTTTTCATAATGCCATTAAGTGGCCATCCATTGAATACCTCAGATTTTCTCCCCTTTGTATTTTTAGTTAAGAGACCAACTCTGTTTGCTATTTAATTATTAATCTTGTCCTTTATACTGTCTATGCCATATACATTTGTTTTGACTGCTTAGTAAAGGCTATTAAGTTCCTTTATTATTGGCTGATTGGAGGGGCCATCTTTGGGGATTAACAACGACAGAGGTTGGGAAGCTGCATTCTCAGTTTGATAGGTTCTACCAGGAATCTTGGGTAAGTGAAGAGGTGAAAATTGCAAGCAGAGGGAAATCTACGCTAATGACATTTTATAAGCAATTTATTAAATTGACTATTATAAATTTCAGAGAAAGTCCCTGGGCACAGTTCTTTGGGTTTCTTATAATTGTATATTTGGAAAAATAATTGATCATACAATCATTTCCTTCCATTGATTGGCTATCATTGGTTGTGGCAGCTTGATGGCCAGGTGCCTTCCACCTAGATTGTACTCTTGTACCTTATTAGAGAGGGTGGGCAATGCACATTTAAATTTCTAAGAAACTTTTTAGAAAAAAAAAGAACTTTATACCTTTGTTTAATGTCTCAGATTTATTTGCTTGCAGAAGCCATTTATGGAATAAATCCCTGAAATATTCTCTAGAAAACATGTAGGGAACTGATAGGAATATTATCTTCTAATGCTTAGAGCCTTTATTGTAAAATCATCTCAAGAAGTTTAGGTAGCCATGAGCTCTTGACAGAGTAAATTTCAACTCCACGTGGCTTAAGAGGCTGCTCTGTTGTAGTCAACCCCCTTTTGAATTTACACCTTAATAATTTGATAAAGCTTTTCAATGATACAGGTGAATGCTCCCCTACTATAGCAAATAAGAAGGCAAATACTATCCTCCACTGGATGACAAGGCCCTGCTTTCATATTCCAAGTACTTCCTGTATTTTTTGTCCCCAAAGGAATGCTTATCCCCAAGCCAAAATTATCTTTCGGCAAGATTCTCTTCAGCCTGTAGAAAGGCTATGTTAAGATTTCACCTACGGTAAGTCTAAGACTTGAACCGACTCTTAGAAAACAGAAGGAAATTTAGAGAAGTGCTTCTCAAATTAACTGTGGTGAAGAACATGTCATTTTCTTTCTATCTGCTAAGGATCATTAAGTGATCCTCCTGCATGACCAGTCTGCAGCTCATACCACATGAAATTACCACAAAGACTGGACAAAATTTTGTGAATCTGTAATAAACAATTTATGGACTGGGCATCAGCCCACACTTTAACTAGAATTACTTTAAAGATCAAAATAATTACCCAAGGTCTCCCAAATTATGTTCCATGATATACTAGATAAGATCAGCATTTCTTCTTGCAGGATTAGTATGTGATAAGTAAGCTCATGGTGTCCTTTCTCATTTAAAAGTGTATAGTCTATTTAATATTCAAGTATTGTATGAAGTATATAAGCATAATTATAGAAATCAGTCTAAATGCAGCAGAGTATGATTTTTGCTTGCTTCTAACATTTTTAGAACTTTAAAGTAGTATGCAGTTAGCTATTCTGTTCATTTTATTAAGTGATTATTTCTGTTCTGAATTGTATATTCAAAGCCATAACTATAGTTGATGTTTCCATGTAATTGTGGACATCTTTTATTACATTTCATAAAAACTATAAAGATTTTTGTTTCACAGGTTTCTGCTTTCTTAAAACTTCTATTAAAATATTCTCACCAATCTCTTACATTCTCATATATAATTATTTCTCAATTATACAAATGGAGCTGAGTTAAAGTATGAAATGGGCAGTTATGCCATAGCATGGACAGTTAGTGCCTCTTCCCATCCTTTGGATTAGATACATTTGTCCTTTTTTTAAAATAAGCAAGGGTTTGAATATGATACTACATATTTTAATGAAATAATTTCTTAAAACACCTAGTTTCTGAATCAAGACTTTCATTTTATTGTGCTTCATAATTGAGAGGTGATACACAATGGGCTAATATAATAGTTCCTTTAAAGAAAAAGATGAAATTGTTTAAATCACACACATGCACATGCATATACCTCATGATACAACATCTTGAAAAAAGAAGGTGGGTATGCTGATGAAAAAAGCCATGATGTCTGCCACTAGCCAACTGTAAAATCTTGATCATGTCTTCTCTATACCCAGTTTTCTAACCTGTCAAATAGAGGTATTGATAGTTCTCCCCTTCCCCCACTCCCCACCCACAGACACCCCTCAACCCCTCACAGGTCTTAAGGAAAATTAAATTAGAAAATATGAAATGCTTTAAAATAATGTACTTAAACATTATAGCAATGCCTTGATAATTTTTTAATAATCCAAAGGTAAATGTGCTCTTTATAGTTTGCTGTACTTTCAGAATGTATGTGGTTAAATAAACACAGATAAGCTTAGTGTTTGAAGTGTCTAGTACTAAACTGGACAAACTTCATATAATTAGCTTGTTATTAGTCAAAAACAGTGATGATAAGGTACAGAAAAGTAAGAGTTGAAAAGATTTGAATTCATGTTTTGGCTCCTGTATTAATTCTTCCTAGAAGATTTTTAGTGTATTAGATCTTTTTAGCCCCCAGTTTTTCCACATGTGAAAATGAGAGAAAATGAATAAATTACATCCCGGGCTCTTTCTATCTCTAGCAGATCTTGAGTTGGAGATCTGGACTTGTACGACAAAATAATAACAAAATGGACCACAAGATGGCGTTTGTAGCTAATGAGTCCTTTTGCGTGAACCCTGTTGCAGTCATTTAAGTATTTGCAGTATTTACAAATGCAAACTTATTATTTATATTCGAGAGATATGTAAAAGTGATTTTTATAAAAATATGCAAATCCTGTTATTTTTAAAGTTACTGATATTTCTAAAAGTATAAATTGGCTGTGATTCTTAGAAGCTGAATGTAGACTTCTCCAAAAATGAAATTTAGAGAATAATTTTGAGCTAAAGCAAAATAATAGAGGTTACTTTCCTCTTGCAGCATCAGCTCTTAATTTCTTTCTGAATTGATTACGTTTTACAATTCTAAAATGTGCAGCTCCTGATAGTTTTTACTGTTTTGAGTCTTATGTTTATGTGATAAAAATCAGTTACTAAAATGTTATTACACAACTGCGTGACCTACATTTTTTATAATGTAATTTATTTTTCAATGTTATTGACTTGTTATGGAGATATTTACATATTTGAGCTTCATTGTTTCCTCAAATGTAAGTGATGCCATTTGTGCCTAAGATAATTTGAGAAAGCATTAAAATACTTAGAGGACACTCAGTCAACATTTCTCTTTTTTAGTTTATTAAGAAAGATGGAATTATCACCATATTGTCTAAAAGACACTTTTAGATTAGTGGTTTGCAATGGAAATTTCTATTTTTAAAGGAAATTTATAGTAAGGTTTGGCTTTTATCACATTTTATAATAATAGGTATCATTGCTGTTTTAAGTAAATTTATGTATCTTATTATCATAGAGATGTATAGACATGATTTTATTAATTTGACTTACGTGACAGCTTAGATGAAACTGAACCTTCTGTTAATTGTTCCCTCAACAGGGTGATTGGTAGCATTACCTGTGGAGATACCAGACTCTGTGCTCTCCTGTCACATGGTGTCTGAAAGCATGGGCTTGACACAGGGATCACTTGTGACTTGGAGCTGAGAGACCGTAAAGACTTCTCTTTATTCTAGGCAACCTCAGTTTCCTCATCTACAAAGTGCTGAAAATAATAGTACCTACATCATAGAGTTATTTGGGTATTAAAATATATACATACATGCATCGGTATGTAGGTATATATGTAATGGAAAAAGAAAAATGGAAAGTGAGCCCAGAAGCAAATTTAATATTCCCAGTGAGTCACTGAAAATAGATAATTTTCCTATTTGTAAATATCTTTCCAGGAGTCTCAACTACCTTATCCCTTAAGCCACTACTTATTTTACATGAGCCTTAAATTGCCAGTATAGAAAATAAGTTTCAAAGCTGATAGATAGATAAAATATATGTGAAGTCCTTAACTCAGTACCTAGCACATAATAAGGTTTCAGTAAATGTAAATTACTAGTAATAATAGTAGCAATAGTAATAATTGTAAATATTTCTCAATTATTTATGTATCTTCTCTTTGGAAATTGTTTATAATGATAATTATTTTATAAATATCAAATACTGAGGGGAGAGGTAAAATTTATGTTTGTTGCATTTCCATGTAGAGTCAAGCCAAGCAGAGCAAAGCATACTTAACAAAATCACATATGATCTAATTTGCCAATATGGTGTTGGCCAAAATTAGCCCCTGGAAACCTTCACTTTTTATTCTAGAATGAAACTTAATGGACACCCATAGTCCTTACAGGCGCCGAAAGGTGAAGAGAGTTGCCTGAAATTGTGGAACAAAACCTCACCATATCCCACCAGCTTGAGAAAGTATTGATTCTTCAATGTGGAGGCTCCATTGAACACTGTGTTGTGTATATACAGACACCAGTTTTGTCATCATTCATTGTTTAGAAAACTGAGTCACACGGTGTGGGATCACTCCCACTTATGAGGACTGAAGAGACCTTTTCTCATGGCAAGATACCACTGCCACTTTGCTGAAGTAGCAAGAGATTTACTTTCAAAACTAGTTTTGGTATTAAAACTTGGTTTCTCTTCTGTCTGCATATTTGAGCAGTTTTTAAGCATGTGAGTAGGGACAAAAGGGCTTAGGTTTACCTGTTGGGTCTCTTTCCCTTCCAAACAGTTCGGCTCACCTTCCAAACTGTATGTATGGCTTTGTTTCCCAGTGCTGCCCTTCAAAGAGAAGCTACCCTTTGTGGCCTGTGACTAAGCTGGAGCCAGCTGGGAAAAGAGGCACTGGATTCTCAGTTAACAAGGATTTGTGATACACTTGCTTTCTGGTCACCAACATCCTGCCTGGTAGCAGGTGAAGCATGTGTATTGGTTTGCTTTTATTTTAGTGAGAAGCATGGGTGCTGGAGAAGAGTGCTGGACTCTGGATTGCAGTTTTCTTAACTTTAAGATGCAACTACTTGATTTCACAAATGTAACAAATAAAACAATAGGTATAGAAAATTATGACATTATTCAACTCAGTGGAATTCCTGCTGTTGATTCTCTGATGATAAGATGAGAATCTAAAGCTAGAATGAGTCGATGGAACTATTAAAAGTCAGGCCAACACTGATGCTGGGTATTTTCGGTTACTCTAATTTTGATCTCTATTACCTCACTTCACTAATTGTGATGATTTGAAAGTAGAAAACATGAATTCCCTGGTAGAAAACGATGAGGAGCCAAATAGCAGAAATATCATTTTAAGAAATATAATTTACAATTATAAGCAAGTCCCACACTGAGATTTGAGATTTTGTTATTGTTTTGATGATTCTTTATATCCTCCAATTATCACAGTCCCAGCCATAATAGATACTGAACTAAATTAAATTGTTTAGCTATGTGATATGAACAATCCATTTTCTGAGTTTTTGCTTAGTTTTTCATACTCAAAAAAAAAAGCAAGAAAAGAGTAGAGGTTTTAGAGTGTTAGAGATTATCTTTTATATTTTTAATTAGATTTATAGACATTAATTAGATAAATGTACAACACATCAGGTAGCAGGTTAATATTACACATTGGCAGGAGGGGGCAGTTAACATGTTTATTTAGTGAAAAATCTGCTATCACAATTCCAAAAGAGGTCTGGTAGCATTAGGAGCTACACAGTTCAGGGCCAAATCCTTAGCTTTGTAGGCCCAGAAAACATTAGTGGTCGGCAACCTGAGTGAAAGTCAGGCCTTTATGGCAAAACTTAACATTGACAAGTTCAGAGAGCAATAGAAGCCAGAATGTCGATTGATTGATAATTCAGATTTAAAAATGAAATTTTTATGATGCCCAGCAAATTTACATCATAGTTCAATACATTCCTTCTCTGTAATCTGCATTTACTGAGCACTTACTGCATCTCTGGCATGTATTAACTCAGTTGTCTTTGAAAGAGTATATGTACTCCTTAAAATACATAATTTTTAAGAGGTATGTAAGGAATCTGTTATCACACACTCTATTTGCGTATATACTGTTTCCTGAAATTTGATCAGCCTGATGCTCCTGAAGACATGCATTTCCTTACCTACCTCGCCTTCCAAAATTGTCCTTCTCCACTGTAAAAGAAAAAATATCTCATCTTGATGGCCCAGTGACTAATTGAATGTACCCTGGCAATCATTCAAGACATTGGTCATTCTTCATTGTTGATGAATAAATACTAGTATACCACTTACCACTTCTTTAATATCACAGACATACTTAACCATTTGGACCTCACATTTTTCATCTGTAAAACAAGATTCATAACTGTCAATGAGAGGTTTAAAGAAGCATGATGTGTAATTAACAACCATTATAATGCCTGACCAAGTATTCATATCTATATATAGCAGTTGTCATGTTATTTCTGTTGTTTTTCTATGTCCATGTCCTGTAGTCTGTATTTCAAAATACATTATTTTGGAAAAGAAATTAATTCACAACATTAACCAGTATGGATGGCTACTGAATATCTTCCTTAGACATTTATTAAACTGGGATAGGATAGTTGAAACAAAATATGACAATAGAAGTTTCTTCACAAGAGGATTAATGCAACCTTTGGTGCATTTGGATCACTTATTTAACAGGAATTCTAAATAGAGCAGACTGCTCAGCATTTCGTTTTGTTTTTTACCTTGAGGATGTTCAGAAGTTTATTTAAATGATAGTTTGGCAGGGTTATCAAGAAGATACGATATCTCTGGAAAGCAGTGATTGTTTTAGGTTTCTCTGCAGGGTTACCAGGTAGTAGATTTTGTACGGATGCAGCAGAGCCTAGAGCGCTCTAGTACAATGTTCTGTTCTCTATCAGACCTTCAGTATCAGTTAATAGTTCTCCTTGTTTTGTGAACCTTGTGGATAGATTTTTAAGTCATTTGTATTTTGGCATTTTTATATTTCCTTCTTCTTATACTCAAACTTCGGTGAAGGAAATTCTTGAGTTTCTATAAAGCTGAATTTTAATTTTTTTCTTGGCATTGAAAATAAAATACTAGTAACAGCTAATATTTAACGCATGCCTGCATATGATGTTAACTGTAGGTTTTTTGTAGCTATGCTCCCTTAGGCTGTGGAAGTTCTTCTAATTTCCTGAAACTTTTCTTGTAAATCAGAAATAGAATGGACACTGTAATTTCAAAGTGCCTTTTTTGTTGAGATGATATTGCATTTAATGCAGTCAATTGGTTGATATTTAAATGGTAATCAATCTTATATTCCTAGGATAAACCCCATAAGGATAATTTGTTCTACAGGTTGCTGGATTTGCCAAAATTTTGTTTAGAATGTTTGTGTCTATATTTATGAGGGATATTGGTCTGTAGTTTTCTTCTCTTGTAATGTCTTTGGTTTTGGTAAATTTAAAACCATTCATATGGCTTCAATTTTCTGGAAGAGTTTGTGTAGGATTAATATGATTTCTTCCTTAAATGTTTGATAGAATTTGCCAATGATGACACTTGGGTCTGGAGTTTTCTATCTGGGAAGATATTTAACAACAAATTAAGATTTGTTTGGGTTATCTGTTTCTTCTGGAGTGAGTTTTGGTAGTTTGTGTCTTTTTTAAAGAATTGGTTCATTTCATTTAAGTCATCAAGTGAATAGTTATAAAGTTTTTCATAATATTTCCTTCAGTAGAATCCAAAGTGATGTCAACTTTCTCATTCCTAACACTTTGTCATTTGTGTCATCTCTCCTTTTATGATCATCATGGCAAAAGTTTATCAATTTCATTAGTCTTCTCAGAGATCCAGTATTGGTTTCATTGATTTTTCTCTGTTGTTTTTCTGTTTTCCCTTTCATCAATTCCCACTCTGATCTCTTCTGTTTTTTTTTTAATTTGGTTCACTTTGTTTTTATTTGTTCTTCTTTAGATTTTAAGATGAAAACTGAAGTCATTTATTTAATACCTTTCATCTTTTCCAATGTAGCCATTTAGTACTATTAAGTTTCTCTATATGTACTGCTTTGGTAGCATATCAAAATGTTTATATGTTGTGTTTTCATTTTCATTCAATTCAAAATACTTTCTAAATTTCCTTCTAATTTCTTTTTTGACATGGAGTAATGTAAGCATCCTGTTTAGATATTAAATATTTGATGAATTTGCAGGTGTCTTTTATTATTTTTTTATTGAGGGACATACATACATAAACTGCACAAATCTGAGTGTACAAATGATGAATTTTGACATGTGTGTACACTCATGTAATCATCACCCAATTCAAAATATCAGACATTCTTACATTTTTTCCTCTTCACCTATTTCACCTATCCCCTACCCCCTCCCCTATGGCAACCACCAGTCTGTTCCTTGTGTTTATGAGTCTATTTCTATTTTGTTTGTTCATTTAGCTTTTTGGATTCCACCTATAAGTGAAATCATATGGTATTTGTCTTTCTCTGTCTGGCTTATTTCATTTACCCTTTAGGTCCACCCATGTTGTCACAAATGGCAAGATTTCATTCCTTTTATGGCTCAGTAATACTCCTGTGTGTATGTACCACATCTTCGTTACCCATATATCTGTTGATGGACAGTTAGTTGGCTTCCATATTTTGGCTATTGTAAATGTGATAAGCATGGGAGAGCATATATCTTTTCAAATTGATTTTGTTTTCTTTGGGCAAATTCTCAGAAGTGAATTTCTGGGTTGTTTGGTATTTCTATTTCAGTTTTTTGAGGAACTCCCATACAGCTTTTTATGGCTGTTTTCTAATTTAATGCCATTATGTTCAGAGAACAAACTTCCTATGACTTGGCTCAGTCAGTCAATCATCTGTTTTAACAGAAGAGTGCATCTGGTTCCTATTACACCATCTGGACCAGCAGCAGAAGTCCTGAGTCTGAGTTCTTCACCACTAAACTATATGTTCTTATCACATTGCCCTTACACAAACATGCACAGGAATTCATGGGGCTTACTCCTGTAAGGGAACATTAGTTAGCACACTCTAGTCTGAATTAGATCCCATTACTATATATTCCCATGATATCTTGAAACTTCATAGACCCTTACTTGATTATATTTGCTTACTGTGTTTCTTGCTAAATCATAAATTCTGAGGTTGAAACTGTGCCCTAGAACCTATTATAATGCCTGGTATACTAAGAACCCTAAAATATTTGTTGAGTGAATAGATGTTTTATGTCAACCCTCCATCCTCCAAATCATGTACAGTTTAGACAGTTACAGATGACTTAAGGTCTAAACGTTTAAAAATATACTAAATGTGAGGTATTTACCTTTAATGCCCTTTCATGGGGATAAATCCATTTATCTGTAAAGACATCAGGCTTCTGCTGTACCATCTCAGAGGAGAGGTCACTGTTTTGTGGTCCCTGTAGTAGCTGCCTGACCTTACCTCTCTTCTCTCTTATCTGCTTCTCTGCCCTTCCTTATCCCTACCTTATTTTGTTATTTCTCCATCTTTATGAGATGGATATTATTACTACATATCTAAGGAAGTAGGATATAGAAATGCTTATACTTTACCAGAGAGTAAAGGAAAATCCTAAAACTGATTCATTACAGGGACTAAAATTATGTTTCTTGGATTGTACTGATGGCTACTACCTTCTAAAGTTCCTTACAGCAAAAATATCCCTTAAATTCTTAATAGACTGATTATTCTTATGAGATCTATTTTATCTCAAGCCTGACTTTCAAGATAATTATCAAATATACAGTATTTTCACCCATTAATTTGCTCAGTGTTTTTTTTAACTTGGCAATTAAGTTTTTCAGCAGTATTTTCTACTGTACTCATGCAAATATATATTCTGGCCATATTAGTTTTCTAGGCTCTTGAGACTATTTCATAATCAATTCACAGGATATTTCCTTTATTAAAAACCTGATTTGGAAAAATGCCAAATTCTTGTGCTCTAAATCTTCAGTTTGAAAAAGTATTGTATATACCTTTCATCTTTTCCACACATACATACTTTTTGGAACAAAACACATAATTTGAGAGCTTTAGAAGGTTAAGTTTTTTATAGTGTTTTGGAAATCTGTGGTGTGTCATTTAGTACTGGTTATCAAAAATGGACATGTTAAAGCTATAAAAAAGAGGAAAAAGAAGTGATATGAAAAAAGTTTAAGCTGGTGAACCAGTGTTAATCAGTCCAGCTTTGGAGTATATCAGTAAATGCATGTATATAGTAACCTGTCCACATTTAGAAAAAACATGATTTCTTTCCTAAACAATTTTAGCTCAAGCTGAATATACATTAGAGTAAATGTGTTTTAGTAAAATCCTAAGTATGAGCAAACTATTAAAATAAATGGATAAAAATAAACTACAGATAACTGAGACTAGGCTTTTGGGACGATCAGTCCCAGGCACAGTCATGAAGCAGGCCACATTTATATGTGTTCCCATGCCTCCAATCCCTTCTGATCCTTTTTCATTTTCTGTGGTACATTAATGATAAAAGTTTCAGCACCTAGTCCCTACAGATGATCATAATATAATAATTGCTAATTTTTGAGCACTTTGTACCCAAAAGTTCCACATAGATATTTATACAGATTATGTGCATTTAATTTTCACAATTGCACCTCTTGCTAAGTACTCTCATTAATATAATTTATAGCTGAAGAAACTATTAAATAAAGATTAACCAACTTACCCATACTCACATTTGCTGCAGGAGAATTCACATCTGATCCAGGCCTGGTTGTATCACCACTCCTCCATCCAAATTCTTAATGAGTGCTGTCTCAGATCCAAACGATCCATCTTTTCCTCTGTATTAACAATGGAGACTACTGGATTATTTTAGCAAACTAATACATGCTGATATTTTGAATGTTTTCCCCTCATTTAGCAATAGTACCTCACATTAAGAATTAAAATATATAGAATGTGACAAGACCTCTGGCAAGCTGATGGGAGAGAGGAATATGGCAGATAGCTCTAGGAACAGATATGTAAGGATTTATTAACCCTTTTACCCCTGACAGTGAAGTAAAAGCTGGTGTCCTCATGGTCTGTTTCCATTATTCAGTGCCTTGCTGCGTGGGAGTCCTTCTGTGCATCGCAGACTGACCTCCACTTGGAAGATGAGCCCTAATCCCATTGAGCTTCTGTGTGATCTTTGGGAGACAGCATCTATTCCACTAGCCAAAGTAATTCTGGATGGCCCATGTCTTTTATAAAGTGGATCAAAAATGTCTTGCAGTATCTGGAAAACCAATAACATGAAACTCAGGTATTCCAGATAATTGGTATGAATTTGGATATATATATATATATATATACACATACACATACATATTTAGCTTAGTTTTCATTGGTTTAATTATGTAATTTGTATGCCAATTACATATAGAATTTTTTTTTCTTAAATATTTGTGGAATATGTCATTTTAAATATATTATAAAGATACAGTTTTAATAAAAAGTTTATTATGAAATAACTGGCCATGGTGTGTTCTTTTTCTACTAGTAGCTCAAGCCTCTGAAGGAGATTCTAATATGAGTTCAGCATATGTTAGCCAGTATGCATTCATTTTTATTTCATCATTATTTTCTCTTGAAATACTATTCACATTGATATTAGGAATTTGAAATCAATATACAAAAATAATTTAATGTTATCAAACAGTGATAACTGAAAGTTAGTTTGTTAGAAGTTAAAGTAATTGTTTTCCATAATTTAAAAATAAGTTATAATTTTAAATTATTTGAGTTATTAGTTAGAAATCCGGATACAGTCATATTCCCTCTAATTTATTCCTTTTTTTACATACTCTTCAGAACCTACACCTAGGTTTTATTTTTTAATGTACACAGTGTTTATCAAATTTATTTTCCCATTTATTTATTGTCTACTCTTTTTAAGATACAGTTATAGGTGTTTATGATCTGTAGTGATAAAAAAGACATAGTACACCCACTTTGTTTTAAGCTTACATTCTAGTAATATCTTACAAAGTGACTTCATACTCATGACTTTAAAAATAATAAGTTATTTAATATTCACTAATTTTTGGACAGATATTCTCAAGACAGTAAATTTTGAGGTATTTGGTCATGCATGTTACATTATATACGTAAGTTTAAGTATTTGGATATTAGCACTTAAATAGGTATCACAAAAAAATAGACATTTAAATTATTTTAACTAATAAGAGATACAAGACATTAAGTATAAAACTAAAAAAGTTTCTTAAATACTGGCATTTATAATTCTTAAGCCATTTGTAATAAAGAATATGGCTTTTTTTTTTTTTTTTGATGTTTGACTGTTGACAGCTTTTAAGCCTCCCCTCCCACTCTTCCTTTCGCTGTACATCTGTGCAAGCTGCTAAGGAAGCCAAGTAGTCTCCCTCTTTTGGCACTGACAGTAAGTTCAAATCATAAAATGGTCTTCCTGTATGCAGAAACCCACCCTGTAACCCACATAAAAACCCTAAGCTAGTCAGTCCCCTTTGCCAGCTCACTCATTTTTAAAACAGCCTGACATGCCTTCCCTGTGCTCCCAGAAAGCCTCATTATCTAAGTAATAAACCTTTTCACACCCTCTTGGTGAGTGTGGTGTCACCAGTCTTGACAGTCAAGACACATTTGAGTGGGAGTCCTTCTGGTTTATCAGCATGGCCCCAAATGTATTGTTTTGCAAGCCAGTTAACCAGTCTGAACTTCATTTTCCCCATGTGGAGATAATATTCTTGACCTCAAATGGAGACAATACTGTTTTACTCACTGGTCTTTAATGATATAGCAAACTTAGAACACCTGCCAAGAAAAATTGGGATGTGGGAGTTAGGTGAAGCCGATCAGAAGGTACAAACTTAGAGTTACAAATAAGTCCTGAGATACAATGTACAACATGGTAACTGTAGTTAACAATACTGTATTATATATTTGAGAGTTGCTAAGAGAGTAGATCTTAAAAGTTCTCATCATAAAGGAAAAATGTGGTGAGGTGATGGATGTTAACTAATCTTACTGTGCTAATCATTTTGCAGTATGCACAGTTATCAAATCATTGTAACACCTTTAATTTATAAGTGTCATATGTCAATTTTACTTAAATGAAACTGGAAAAATAAAACTACCTGCCAGAGAAATGGTAGCCAATAAGATCATCGGTTAACTAAATGTGAGTCATATAAAAATGTTTTGTTTTTAGGTAAGCTTTTAGGAAAGTGTCTTGCCAATGGGTTTCAGCCCCAGGCAAGTTCACTATGGATTCAGTGTGACCAAAGAAATTGACAACAAAACATTCTTTGGGGTGAAGGGTTATACCCAACTTTATTTCCAGGTGGCAGGTCATTCACTAGCAGCCCATTCACTCGAGTGAGTCTATATGCAGCAAGCTGGTCTCTGCTTCTG